CCCCAAAACCCCAAAACCCCTCCACTGAAAAATATGATAATGTTGATATTTATAATTATAAATGGAATAAAAATAAATCTAGAGGTAATTATCTCCGCATAAGAAGAATCCATCATCACAAATCAAGTTGGAACCGCTTCAACAGAATATTAGGGAATCTATAGATAAACTGGAATCTATAAACCATAAAAGATTCAAGTTAAGCTCTTCAAGACAGAGTTAGCTTAACAAGACAATAAATTTCGGCCTAACAAGCACTTCAAAGCAAGTAAAATTTTTAGATTTCCAGCAAGAATCTACTCAATAAATGACAGAGAGGAGAATTAAAGAGGTTTAAACTAGAAATAGCAATAACGGGGAGAAGGAAATATTTATGAACACAATGGACTAGTTACTTACTGAGAGACTTTCTAAGAAAGATAGGAGCAGTAACGTTTCAAAAAAAGATTCAACTATTTCCTTTCCTAAAGCTTAGACCTCTTATAGTCCTTTTAATAACAATAGAAGTTCTTTAAGTCCTCGAAATGAAAATAAGTCTATCATTGCAAAATAGCAATAGTCCTAATCAGTGCTGAGGAATCAGTATCTAAGAGCAAGTAACCAAATGGATGTATTAAGGCAATCTCTTAATAATCTTTAGTCCTAGAGAAATAATCAAAGCCTTATTAGTAATAAAGAGTCATTATCTATAAATAAGTCTCTAACTAACCTCTCTGTTCAGCAATAGGCTCCAAATTAAAATTAAGAAAAGCAAATGGAGATAATTGAATCCACTAGTCCAGATTAAAATAAAAGTTAGCCATAAAATGATGAGTAGGTAGGTGCTAAAATAGACATAGATACATTCATAGAGGATACTTTTATCTTCAATATATAAAAGCTAACAAAAGTTAAAAAGAAAATGATTGATTGCACAAGAGAGTATCGTAAATTTACAATTACTCATTCTCCAAGGAAGCATCACTCTAGAATAATTGAGGCATTAGGGCTTAATCCACTCGATAAGATGTCTAGAAGAAAAGTCAAAATGTCTAAGGATCCCAATCTGGTTTTCATTGAATTGGACTGTAGTGAGAAATATGGGGGAGCCAGAGATATAATTGAAATTAAAGTAAATAAATCTCCACCTCTGCTTTTAAATTCCAGATAGCAGACTCATTATGAACTCTAGTATAGCAACTATACAGGACTACTAAATAGTATAGGGGAAAGATCTAATGGATTAGTCAATAGCTAGATGATGTTGAATAAGTTAACATAGCAAATGAGCACTAATGGTGCTTTAAGGAGTCTTTAAAAAGATAACATACATAAGCTATTAAAAAAACAGTCTTAATAATCAAGTCAAATGAAACAAGAACAATCCTCAACTTCAATATCAGTTGCTTAGGATTCTAATTTTAATTTTCAGACCCCAAATTTTATTGAGCGTAAATTTAGCTTCGCAGAAAATGGTAGTAGCTAAAACACTCCAAATCAAAGTCAAACTTTACCAAATGTAACTATCAGTTAAAGTAATGATAAAAAAAGTAACTAGCAAGATACTTAGATTTTTGATGTAGGATTCATAGATTCAAGCAAATCATACCTCTAAACTTTGGAGGAGTTTTCTAACAAAATTGCATAGTATGATAACTTTCAACCTAAAGATGCTTTTTAAGGAAATTTTTATGAAATTTAATCATAAATACTTAATAAGGCCTACAAAATAGATTAAGGGTATAGTTTGGTAGACTCTACAAACCTTTAAAAGCTTTTTCTCCAGTTGATTCCGTAATTTATTGATTATCTATAAAAAATTATAGAAACTACAAGGAATGCCTTTTAAGATTAGTGAAAGTAATGCCAATTACTGGATGCATGATGCATTAATTAGTGTCTTATTTAATGTATTAAGTTGATAGATCTACAAGAGTGATTATAAACAAAGAGAAGTACTACTTGGAAACTATTGACAAGTACTTTAATTTTGTAAACTCCATTTAGATTAGAAGACTAATTGAAAGCCATGAAAATTCAGCTGAATGCAAACAAGGAAATCTATGAGAAATTCTAAAAACTTGAGTCTGAGCATATGAATTTAAATGAACAATATTAAAGGAGAATTGAGCAGTCAAGAGAAGTTGCAGATATCTTATCCAAAGATATTTTAGATTTAGAGTTCAACATGAAAAATATTTCAGCGATTCAAATTGATACTCAAGATGAGTTATAAAGGAAGTTAGAAACCGTCATTAAATAGTTTAGTATGGATTGAGAACAAAATTCTAGCAAGATAGCTGAACTTAAATACTTCTTAGACAAAAACATAGAAATACTGAAAAATAATTGGGATGATAAACGGAGTGTAGCGATTTAAGTAAATATGGACCTTGAGAAAAATTTATTGGAAGAGGATAAAATCAATATTCAATAAAGGAACTAGCCTCTGATTCTTGAGATGAATACCCCTAGTGAAAATAATCTATGGGATATTGTAAACGAATATATTAGCTACAACAAGATGAAGTAATAATTCAAAGTTCAAAATGATATTCAACTTTACAAAGAATATCTTAAGCAAACTGAAGAAATAATCAGATTCGGATTCAAAAATACGGATGACAATAGTTTCCCTAAGTATCAATAAATGCTAATGGATTTCTTCCTTGAATAGAGCGATCAAGGTAGTCTCGACTATATGAAGCAGACAATGTCTAAATTATCAAACTATAGTATGATTACTAATACACTAATTTATTTTAGCACTGATGATGAATCACTTTCTTCTTTATGGAGGATCATCACTTTCAAATTCAAGCGCAAAATTTTTATTCTAATATAGGACACGAATAAACCTGATTGAAGCCCCACCAGCATATTCAAAAAATATAAATAAACTCAATAAAATAGTTGAATATATACTATTTTCTCTATGTTAAGCTCTAAAGGTTAAGAAAAGCTTCTGTGATATTTTTCCAGTTGGGGGAATTTTTGAAAATAAAGATAGATAGTCGGATAGCTTTGAATAATCTAAGCTAAAGTAGGGATTCGACCCTATATAAATTTTTAGATTATTTTAAAAGCCATTGAAGAAAAAAAGCACTAATTTTAAAGTGAAGGAATAAAAGATAATGATTATTTAGAGATTATAGTTTCTTTAGATGCTTTAAAACTAAATGGTGCTATATAGAGAAGATACCGAGTCCTAAGAAAAACTACTTCCACCACATCTTAAAGGCCTATAATTAATCATTGCCTAAATTGAATACAATGTAATTATTATTTTGTGATAATTTTAGAATGAAACTGTGCTTGATAAAAGACTGTGGATTCTAACCTTGGTTAAAAAGCTCATTCAAAAAGATCAGTCAACTAACTTATCCTATGACAATCTGATTGGAAACTTAAGAGATGGAGAAATTGGGAATAAAGTGAAGAAATAAATATTCTAGGAATTCTTTGCTTAAAATAATCTAGATAAAGATTTCTAAGATTAATTTTATCAAACGGAGAGTAATTTCTTCCAAGATAACTTAGTTGATACGCACTTCAATATACTTTCAACCTAACCTGTACCAGTACATACTAAAGCATAATCTCCAGGCAGTTCATAATTTAAAAGGGAAACCTCAAAAGCAAGAGAAGCCTTGATTAGAACTGTAAAAAGAATCAATATAATAAAGCGTTTGTCAATTATTAGAAGAGTTAATGAAGTGATCGAAAAAGTAACAACTGAGGAGAAGCAGCAAGGATTGATAACATTTAAGAAGCTAGTAAAAATTCTCAATATATGCCACATTTACATACCTTTGATTCAAATAAAGCCAAATAATAGTACTGAATTCAGCTTAGATATTAGAGATATGATAGAGTTAACTACTTCTAAAGAAAAGTATAAGAGATATGTCTATTTGTAAACTCAGAGCATACTCTAGATAATAAAGGGATTTGGAGTTCATTTAACAATCAATAACCTATTTTTGTTAATCACTAGGTTTATTATTGATAAACCTCTATATTTGTAAGCATATCTCAATTTATTGTTTTTGTAGTATTCCACCAATTGAAGTATCTTGCTTAGTGGCAGAATGCTATTATAGTCACATAATTCTGAAAGAAAGTCATTTGAGAAAAAGATTCCTTGAAAAATTAAAATCTGAATATAATGGCTTACTAAGACCATAACTTGAAGTTTACTTGTATGACGAGTTGTAAATTGATAACTTAGCCGAGAGTCATAAAATTTTATTCAAAATATTAATGAGCAAGCTTAAATCAAAGGTTGATCATCCTGGAGTTATAAATAAAGCAATATTGAGTGAACAGAAAATTATTTATAAATACAAAGACATAGAGGAGGAAGTTATCAAGAAAATAGCCGCCTAGAATATGCTTAAAGAAATCAATGATTCATCACTGATGAAACTGCTTAAGGTAATCGCTAAGAAAGTTTAGGATGGCAAGACTTTGATGAAACAAAGAACAACAATTAGCAATTTTAAGAGAAAAAGATGATACCTCATTATAAAATTTAATCAGTTCTTTAATCTTAATTTAATAACTCTTAATAGGTTACTATGATAATTAATCACTCAAGAGATGATTTTTCCTCTTCCTGTTAAAAATCATCCTCATAAAGCTAGCATTTATGAGATTCACATAATTTCTCATGAATAATGTCCCTACATTCCTTACATCTAAAATACCAATTGTTGTCTAATTTTAAATCTTGACTTCTTTTATAATATTCCTCTTTAGTCATCTTTAAACCCAATAATATTTTTTCCATGTTAGCCTAATCTCTTCTACTTAAGCATATTTCAAATCTGTCATGGAAATAGTTTTTGTACATTGGTTTATAGTTTTCAAAAACAGTACCTTTCAATCTTCTTTTAGAACCATCCCAAGCTTTCCTCTTTGGCTTTTTCTATAATTTCACACAAATAAATTGATGAGTGTCTACTCTGTCCCTAGCAAATTTTCTTTAGCAAAATGCGCAGTTAACACGTTCATCTAAGCCATTTTCTGAAGTTTCAGGAACATCAAAGCCCTTTTTTTCTTCTTGGCCTAATTTTTCAGACTAATTTTTTGCAAGAGCAGTCCTAAGCTCATCATAACATAGCAATAGCATTGGATGAATACCCTTTACAGTTGGAACACTATACTTATAAGCCAACTTATTATTTTCCAACCTGATTGTTTCAAACCCTAAGTATTTAATAAACTTAATGCCTGTTGAAAATCTCCCAATGTTGGAGTAAAATACTTAATTATCCATTTTCAAAACTTTATATTTTTCTTCACTAGGTTTGCTTATAATATTCCCTAGAATCATTATCATTTTCTCAAGAGTATAGCAAATGAAAATTTAAGTTGCCTCTATTTCTAACTCTGAGATAAAGTCTAAAATATCCTCACGCTAATCCTCTAATTACTCAATATTTCCCCATTCTTACATCATTTAAGCCAATTCTAATTCCTCTTAATCTTACTATTTTTGTTCTTCAGGCTTCAATAATCTTGAACAACCACATTTAGGGCAGGTTTTATGTTCCTCAGCCTTATTCAATTACATGCAGTTGAGGCATCTCCATTTAAAATCTAATTTAGGCTAGTTTTTATTGATTTTTTATAATCCAGTAAAGGTTTTTAGAGGCGCTTGCTTAGTTTCCTCTTCAACTATTGAACCTAATCTTACACCAGAGCCTGCAAAAGCTTTTATTTATTTTGGCTGTTTCTTCTCTGGAAGAGGCTTATTCTTTAATGATGGCATCTTGCTCATCTATTTACTTTTAGGTCTGTTAAAATCATTTAATGTCATCATCTTTGGTTTGCTACTAGGATCAATTGAATGTGAAGGATCATAGGCCATATCACTCTAGGAAAGAGATCCACTTGCTTATCTCCTTCTACAGACGTTTTCATGTGTATTTATTCTATCAATTGTAAATTTTCTTCCACAAACCATGCATGCATGTCTTCCTTAGGCATCCCCGAATTACTGATTGATTCCATTTTCAATAGATTAGATAGTATGAATGACAGATAATCCTGTTTAAAATTTTGTCCCTTTTGGCAACTTTTTACACATATCAACATGGTCATGCCACTCACAATTAAATACAGCCCTTTTACAATTTGGGCAATCTTTATGTGTTTGTTAGAAGATTTTGATGCAAACTTTTTAATGAAACGGTAAACTGACTGGAAAATATTTTTACCCGCAGATCCTACAAAAAACTGCTTTCTCTAAGCCCATATTTGAATTTTAAATTTTAATTATCATTTTAGAAAATCTTGATTTTAACTTTGCGGGGTTTTGGGGTTTTGGGGTTTTGGGGTTTTGGGGG